TCGGCAAATATGCAATTCAAATCTACTTATATGTACGAACATGCTTAAATTTTCTTTCCAAAGGCTACCAGCAACTCGGACATGAAATCCTTCGTCTCCTACATATGAATGCACACTCAAGCTCGGCGAACATCCAGGAACAATGGACACTGGCCCTTAATGTTGAGAATAAGAATACCATATTCACATCCGATGGACAGATGCCGGCTGTCAGGACGCTCAAAAGATACACAGCGGCGTTACGTCTGTCCTCGTTATCGCCTCACGATATGTGGCGTCTAATACTATATGTATACTCGATTGTAAAGACAGCTTTCTGTGCCCTCTTCCCACAACGAAAGTGTTAGGTTGTCTCGTGTATACTGTATACCATGGAGAAGGAATCGCACACTCAAGAATCTAGTATGTTCTTCTCTGGTCTTTCTGAGATGAGGATTTAGTTTCTGACATCTCCGTTCCTGAACCGAAGCTCCAGCTCTCGTGACGGTCGCTTCTCCGCCGCCTACGAATCCATACTTTCTACCAGTTCAACAGCCTAGCACACAAGTGACGTGAGTACGCCTATTCTAATTCATTGATTGACGGCTGCTTATTGCTTTAGTCACGCAGCACCCAATCTACCCTACCGTCGTATACAACACATGCACAGAACACCTCACCGATGCAAAATTTCCAAACATCATATCCGTCCGGGATAAACTTTCAACAGACCACGCCTACAACGCCTTCACTTCAGCCTTTACTAGCCTCTTACACGGGCGATATGAAGGCATCCCCGGCATCATCGAACTTCCAAACTACTCCTCCGTTATCAGGAAATCATGTTCAGCAGCCGATGATGGCAAATCTACAATCGCTTCCGGCCAGTACGAACTTCCAGCAACCAGGATTGTCGAGTCCAACTTTCCAACAAGTAGGTGGACTTCCCTATCAACAACAAGCATATACTCCTGGAAACTTTCCACTGCAAACACTTGGTTCGGTAGGACAACAGCCGTCGCCTTTCATTCAATCACCACAAATGCAGCCCTTTGGGGCAGCCCCCAAATTCTTTACTGCGACTCCACTTAGACTGCTAGGAGAAGGAACGGCGCCTGTGGATTGTCCTGTTTGTAGGAAGAGGGAGCTGACGCATGTAACACTGCAGGTTGGAAGTAATACACAGTTCGTCTCGTTCATTGTTCATCGTTCGAATATAAAATGACGAAACCATCATCCAAGCTTATGGGCAATAGGATTCTGTATCTTCTTAGGCTTAGGATGCATACCGTACTTGATGAATGACACCAAGGACGTCCGGCATTCATGTGGAAGCTGTGGTGCGCTCCTCGCAACCTGGCAGCGGGGAGGCAAGATAACGGTAGTACATGCACATGCATAATCGAGGGAACTTCTTTCTATTTCATATCATTTATTACGTGCAATGTGTAACCAAAGTATTTGACAATTGCACCTAAATTCAAAATTTTCTTCTGCATTGAAAACAATAAGCACTACATATTGTATTTAGGTATAATAGCGAGCTAGAAATAGATACGTACACGCGATGTGCTCCTTTTAGCGAAGTTGATTCGGATCTGCGCAAAACCCATGAGGCTGCATGAGACGATATCGTGTTCACTCGTTGCGAATCGGCGATCGGGGGGGCCGTCCAGTCATATTTAAACGGAAAAAGGCTCAAGGGTATTTGAAATCCAGACTCCCAAGCGCCTGGGCCTCTGGTGAGGGGGTTGTTGCACTGCTGCTAATGTTTGACTGGTAACGTTGCTCGCAACGTTAATGTAAAGACATTGGTATAATAAGTCATGAATCACTTGTCTTCAACACGTCAAAGCGCTGTTACATCGTCGACACACATCAAAGGACATTGTAACCGATTTATTTTCGGAATGACTTGGCTTCGAAATTCAAATGAGGCGAATTATACATCGCTTGATGTTAATTGATCACCGTTTGGGCTCATGAAGTCACCGGTTGAATTTAACCTATGTAGTAGGCAGCAAAGGTGAGAGCCTCCCTAGCAACACTCTCGTTTCTATGCACACTGCATATGATTACCGTTATGGCACTGTTTCAGTTCGGAATGAAGAGCCGAAATCAATAAAGCCAAATGCAACACATATTCGAGTACCCAGCGATGATACCACCAACGACTGGGGGACATAGCAGGGAAAAAGTGCTCGTAATAACGTGTTAGTTGACAGCCTTGTGGGTAAAGCCATCTTGAAACCGTCTGAGAGGGTGTCAACCCGCCAAGTCAACCACCTGACAGCTGCTCCCACTTCCATCACGAAGCTCGCGTTCCATGTATATCCACCTCGAACAAGCAAAGTGCCCTACAAGCGTCTCCCACTGGACCTTCCCAACCTGAAACATGCTTTCGGCCATTTCAACTGCTTGCCAGTACGGGGCCAAGCCATTCCCTCTCGAACACGACGACTCTTCAAATCGTAGAATGCGACGACGCGATCAGACAGGGGCCGGCCCCCACGCTCAACAATATAACGGATCTCGCTCTCCCACCGTCGTGGAAGAACTAGAATCTGCTTCCAGCTCGACCACTCGCAGTAACACTCCACTACCATCACCACCCAACTCTCCTATTTCATTCGCCCCCTCGAAGTCGTCCAGAAGTATCAATAGCATCGCGATGACACCTAGCCCCCCGTCATCACAGAAGTCCGTGCGACAGCTTCGTACTCTACGACCACAGCGACCAAATACCCCTAGGTCCGCGTCAATGTATTCTTCGTCGTGCGTCCAGGAGCCGGCACCTGCCACTATTCTACGATCATTAGCCCCTAATCATGACCCATGGAAGAGGACGCAACAGACTTACGTTCCTTCTCGACCATCCACCCTTTATTACGATCCTCCACCTCGGATCGAATCATTATACCTGCCTTCAACCTCCAGCATCAACATCCAACCACCACTCTCCTCCACGCATTCAGACTCATACGATCAAAGAACTACCACAATAGCGTCATCATCCATTTCGACTAAACGTTCAGTGGACATGCTAAACTCACGTTCGTATCTCTTGCGGCCAGCTCCTCGCTCGACCGCTACCATACCACAGGTAACGTCTCCGAAAGGCAAGGAGAGGTACATTGTGCCATCTCCCCTCTGCCTCGACAAGTCTGTACGCCCCCGCCGAGGAATCGACGAAACACACCCACCCGTTTCCGCATCATCCGCCAACACTGCCACCGCTACCACCCCGACCACTCCGAACTCCGCTAGCACCTTAGCTGAAACGCCAATATCACCTGCATTCCCCGTCATTCCCGAGAACGAGCAGCGACAACGACGCTTGCAAAAGCTGATGCGAACTCTGGGTGAGAAGATCCCAGCCGAACTCGTGTTCAAAAGCGTACGACGATCGCCGAGTACGGAAATACCCAATGCGACTACCACTCGTTCACCGACACCGACTCCCGCACCACTGCGACCGCCGCCAGCTACGCGCGATGATATGTTCCAAACGCGTGTCCAGCGCGATACTCCCACCCATCGACGACGGGCAAGTCTAACGCTGCCGAACTTCACCCTGTCCGCCATGACAGCTACATTCCTCTCATCGCCTAAACTGCCTGATACGCCATCATCGACACAGCGAGAACCATCGAAGTTGTTGAGGAAGTTGAGTTCACGGAAGGCGAAACCGGCGGGGTCGGGGGATGCAGAGCAGGTGAATGATATTAGAGAGGGGATCAAGTGGGAGGAGCGGGAGAGACCATCAGTCGAGCAGATATGGCCCAAACCACCACCACCACCACCCGCTTTCCCTCCCCAGGAAGAGTTTCGCCTCGTAGTTGATGACGCCGATGCAAAGCCTCCCTCAGTCGCCTCAGAGGACGACGACGACTCTACATATAATGCCTCTACCCGCCAGTCATTTGAGACGGCGGACGGGCATGAACCTTTGAAGAAGGGCTTCAACATTATCCGCCCAGACACACCATTCGCCGATTTCGGGGTACCGGTCAGTGGAGACAAATACTTGACTCCACCAGGCACGGAAGACCAGAGCGATAGCAAATTTAACACGGTATCGAGGAGAGAGAGGAGGCAGGGGTGGAGTGGGGAGTGGAACCAGCCAGATATCCAGGATGTGATCGTGAAGTTACGAGAGTTGAGATGAAAGGATGAAAAGGCACAGTGACATGTAACCTGCCTCTGCACTGTAAAGGCTCGAGAGAGTGATAGGTCGGAGATGATGGGCAGCCATGATTGGATTCTTATTGTTACTGAACATGAAAGACAATGTTGTATATCTATTTGAGCTTGTTTCAACTCTTTAATTTCGTACTGTACTAGCGTAATGATATGTGCTTACCAAAGGTCAACTATTAAGAAAGCCAACGACAGTGTTCCGCGACTGGATCAATGGTACAGCTAAAGAGTGCATTATAGCGCGTGCTGGGAGCAGAGACGACACAGCTGATGTGAAAAGTGAGCGGGTAGGATAAGAGATACAAGTAGAAAAACCCACCTTTTATGAACGCCCAATAGGACGAATCCCATAACCGCAGCAAATGAGTTGTGGATGGTCCAACCTTTCGTCTCAAAATGCTCGTCACACACGTCCTCATTCGTCGACCTACGGCATAGTCATGCACCAAGAGCGCGACCTACAAATAACGCCCGCAATACGTCCGGTTTGGCTATTGCCAGCTTTGTCTCGTGGTGCGGTTGTGAATTGGAACAAGCAAGTGTAGTCTCTTTGTAGTAAGTATGAGCAATCGATAGCCGGGCTGTTTGATTGAAGAGAGAGCGAGGGTGTTGCCAAGAAGCTGACGAAGGTTGTAAGACACGGTTTATCCAAATCGCCGATGACGACGAGCAGCCGCGTAACGTTATGGTCACTACATGAGTGTCACGCACTCAGCGTAAACGGCAAACCAAATGGAGACTTTGCACGCGTGGGGAATGTGGACTATCGTCTCCTGAACAGAAGCCATCCACGCACAGTAACTTGAAAAGAAAAAATTATCTGCCCATTGGCTGGATTGAACAACCGACCTCACCATTGCAATACAAGTGGCGCGCTCTACCACTGAGCTAAACGGGCTGGTATTTTGGTAGGTCCTGGTGATAATCAGTTGACAATGACTACATTTGTCAATAAGACATCTTGATGGCGGCGAATGGCCGTCACTACGCTATCTCCTCCTTCACACAGAACTCCAAATTCATGTTCTTCAAGAACGTGGGCAGTATATTATCACTCGATTTAAAAAAAATTCCATCTTGCGACCACACCTCTCAAAGAACCACATACATTGTAGCCTGCTGTCATGTTCTTTCTACGATTTACCTTGCTCCAAGATGAGTCAGTGCTCACCAAGTTTGAATATCACAAGCACTGTCCAACACTGCAAAACCCAGATCGCAGTAATAGGGCTAAGGATTTCTCTAGTAGTCTGGAGCGGCGCTCAGGGCGTTAGGTGTTGGCAAAGTGTTTTTGAAGTTTAGTGGGAAGCGACCTTATACCCTACCACCATGAAAGCTTTTAGGCTTCGAAGAAGACGAGAGTTTCTTGGGAGCCTAGACACTCACACAGGTAGTCCAGTTATGCGCCTCTGTCTCGTACTGGCCATGGCACAGCAGTGAGTCACGTCCACGAAACCGGGGTGGCTAATCAGCTCAACCGCACTTATGCACATTCTGAGTAGAGAGAGCTTTCAGATTTTAGTTTAGAACACATGTAAGGAATATAATAATTTATCTATTGTAGTATTATGAATATTTTATTAATATTGAGTTGATTTTTGAGCTTCGTACAGATCTCAAGCCAGAAGTGGGTCACTTGTATGAGAGTGGTTGGAGACCGCCGAGCCCGCAAGAACCCGCTTTAGGTCGCCTCAACCATTCTCCACGGGTGACCCCTTCCCCGTAGCAACAACACACTGCTACGCCTGTGGACAATTGTGAAGTGGCATTTAAGTATAATCAAAATACTGACTAAGTTCTTCTCAAATACTATATGGTTGAGCGATTGTAATTTTTTAAAACTGTAGGTATGTATACATCTCGCGGACACATCGGTCGCTCTGCTTCTTTATTTGTTATTCCCTTCTTATTACATCCCAATCTCTGCTTAACATACTACTCTTTCAGTTACTGGAAGCTTCAAGCTGTCCGCATTGTCCTTGATTCGGGTCCATAGTGAAGGTAAATGCTCCAGCGTTAGTATTGCCGAAGCCACCAAGCTGTAACGGACGAATTTCAGCTTTATCTTGAATCAGGATCTCAGAGAATTAAGCAGCACTTACACCATTGCAGTTAACGGTTACATTTTCGAGTGTACCGTTACAGTCGAATTCAGATGGTACTGTGGGCAGAGGAGCTGCATCCGCAGAAAATTCGAAGAAAGCGCCAAAGTCACCTATTTCCAGTCGTAAATGATCGGGAATCGAGAATCAAGCGTTATCACTGACATTTGAAGCCCGCCGCGTTGTAGCATCCGGCATGGTTATTGCCGAATGCGATCTGTATTCAGTGACGAATCTTAACTGAATTGGATGCACGCTGAATTTGAATGGCTTACAGCCGTCTTCAGGCTATTGCAAAAGTCGGCAGTGAATATTTGGCATGAGCCCACTGTTCCTTCTGTGAAGCAGGTGCGGCGACGAACAGGTGCAGCGGATATTGCTGCATCAACGGACGCCATCGAGAAAGCAAGGACAATTACTATCGAGATCTATGGTTCGAGGATCAAAGTTCAAATGGCATTAGAATCCATAACAGGAAGGATGAAGATATAAGGCAGGCACACCGCGTTGTGGTTGAAAATCATATTGTGGGAATTGAAGAGTGGTTGTGGGGTCTGAGATGTTCTGGGGGATAATAGTGCAAGAAATAAAGTGGCTTTATATATCTATTCAACTTATGACAATGATTGTCGGAAGACGGGCTGAAGAACACGGCGGCGAGCAGCTCCGAGAGCACACATAAATGCCCGTCGTACCCCCGGCACCATAAGATCGAAGCCACTTCATTATGCCAGTGACAAGTCAAAAGAATGCCCAGAATCAGAACATTGGAAGCAGTAGATTTATCTGAGGATAGAATTGAGAGGAGTAAAATCCAGGCACTGTTAGTTCGGTGGCAGCTATTTGATATGACAGATGAGTTTTCTCATAGAATATCATATCTATCATAGTCTTTTCAGTGCCTTTTGCGGTGTAATTTCATTTTTAAACCGGAACCACTGTCAACTATTTTTAGCTGAGTTCTGATATATCAAAGAGGCACTATTTCCTGATGATTTGAATAAGTAAAGCGATCAATAGAAGCAAGTACATCTGCCACCAACGTAATTTCAGGAAAGTTTTTGGCAGTCTGTCCGAAGCTGCGACGCGGCCGCTATCTTTGACACCATACGGCTGTGAAATGCGAGTCTAGGTAATAGAGCGTGAGCCTAGTTCCTCTTCATTCAATGGATTGACTTTGACATTGATCCAGCTCAAGAAGACGTGTACTATCTCCCCGTTGACTTTAGCTAGCATTTCATTCCCACCAAAAGCTGCGATCACTAGACAGCAAAATTGCCAACCTACCCCCAAAATTGGTAGGTGGATTTCCGGTGAATATCTTGTACAAGACCAAGGGAGATATCATATGTATCGGATTCATCTCCTGTATCTTTGTCTCAAGGAAAGATTGTGAATCGTTCAGCACTCAGTTCAAGCGCCCTGATAGATTGCATAATCCGATAATTCTGGAGAGTGGGGTAGTAGTACTATTTTGACTTGAATGATCACTACAAACTCTGCTGCTAATTCATAACATCACTGTCGTGCTCTTCTCCACACACATCTCAATATAAGCTCGTTCTGGACCTCCCTATAAAGGCGCAATGTAAGAAAATACATGGCCTGAACTATCTCGGTAGAGCACTTAATGGCGCTCTATCAGATCCGCGGACTGTGTGTTCCGTCCACCAAGCTTAGATATAAAGTTGTAACAGAATGGATAACTACAATCTTTCTCTAAGATATTTTCTACCAATCTTCCACCACCTGACTGAGATCTGAGGCCAGATAGCTCTATCAAGCTTTGCGTCTTAGAAAACATTGCATTGCTAGTATCGCAGAGTTTTGAGCGGTCTATCATCTATCTGCTGCATAGAAAGGATTGAAATTCATGTTTGGTTATCGTGGAAGTTGAATGCTTCATCCTTATGGATGGCGAGATTTGAGCAATACGTCTGTCTGTGCACTTATGGCGCTTGTCATCAATAGTAGGCATCTAGATATAAACTTCTCTCCCCGTAAAGCTTGAATATATACTAAACCTAAATTCCACGTACTCATTTATTTCATGGCACGCTTCGTATATATTCAATTGATGAAAATGCTTGAACAACCGACACTATCATTGCACAATACAAGTGGCGCGCTCTACCACTGAGCTAAATAGCTTATGGGTGGTGCCGGCATTCGCCACTGTCCATCTCGCCTTGAATTCAACTCTTAAATTGTCGTGGATCACCCTCTTGATCATCAGGTTCCCAGTACTCAGATAGATATCTTTGATTGAAAAACTTAGTAGACTTATTCTCTTAGGTCTGCACGGAGCCTCATCCAGTGAGAGTGGGCCCACGTTATCAATTTTATAGTAACAACGCCAATAATCTGCTCATTCTTGGATGATATAGAAGGTGTAAATTTGTATTTGAGATTCAGTTCCAAATCAATATATATATATGTACTTCTTCAAGTTCAGCCCAAAATTATTTCCTTCCACAATGGCCCCGCTCCTAATGCTTGATTTAAATAGTCTTTCTCAATAGAACCCAATGAGACCCGTTCAGCCCATTCACCATGCCACTCAAGAAGCATAACCATATACTTCCATCCTTTCTCTTCATCTTCTCGACCTCTCCCAGCCCTCTGATCTCTCCCTTCACACAGAAGTATAAATTCATGCTCTCCAGGAACGTGAGCAGTATACCATCTCTCGGGTATAAAAACAATGCCTATCTCTTGACCATCCCTCCCGAAGAACTCCACGCGACGTAGCTTGTTGTCGTGCTCTTTCCGTGAGTTTATACTGCTCTGGGGCTCATCAAGTTTGAATGTTAAGGAGACTGTCCAAAACTGTAAAAATCCAGATCGCGGAGTAGGGCTAAGAATGTCTCTATAGTACTCTGGAGCGGCGTTCAGGGTCTTAGGCGTTGGTAAAGTCTTTTTACAATTTAGTGGAAAGCGATCTTGTATCGCGCCCCCGTAGAAATTTTTAGGCTTCGAAGAGGATGAGTGGTTCTTCGGAGTCCAGACACGCACGCAGGTTGTCGAGTTATGCGCCACTCTCTCGTACCAGATGATCCAAGTCCTTTTTCGATGTGCCCTGCGAACCATCGTGATGTTTCGATTATACCAATCCCAAATCCTTGGCCACGAACCACCAATCCACCCAGACCAGGACCAGCTGGGTGTATTTTCACGGCGCACTTGAGGTTCTATTGGCGTCCAAAGAAGAAACCAATCGAAATATGCATCTGGAATCCCATGGCACAGATTGGCTTTGAGCTCCTTCTTGAAGTAGCGTGTGAGTCCAGCAAATGCGTTATAGATATCAGACTGGTAACTGAGAGCCAGTGCAGAGTACTTCTGGATCAATCCTTCAAAGTCTCCGATATCGTCACTACTTTCGTCATCATCGTCGTCACTTGATGTAGTTTCCGTGTCCAATTCGCAGACAACATCTTCCGTCCATTCGCCAGCTTCGTTGCAAGTAAAGAAAACCTGGCCACCACAAAATATTAGGGATCGGCGGCTGAGCTCCTGTTCTTGAAATCTACGCAGCATTATTAGTTTTTTGAACAGGGTGGAATTTAGCAGACTCACGTCCATGCCCTGGTATGATATACGGACTCTTTCTCGAAATCATCGGTGGACCATTTGTAGCCTAATCTGACACCTGGAATGACCTCCTCAAGCACTTGCTTCCGCCCTCTAGATCCTAAACGTACACCAGGAAGGCCGCTAGTAGCATCTATCCCTGTCGCTGCTTGAATTGTGATGAACGCTGCTCCATATACGTGGTCCATCTTCGATATTGCGT